TAGGGTAAAGTACTTACTTTGCTCCTCCTCTGCTTCTTCAGGGGAGAAACAACCTTTTGCTCAAAGACCCGGGAAGGGAAGGATGGAGAGAAGGCAAGGGTGGAGGCGAGGCAGGGACCTGATGCCTAGCAGAGGCAGCCCTGTTGTCGGGAAGCACTTCAGTCTGTGATGGGGAATGTCAATGAGTGGACCAAATGTCAGTGAGCGACTGCCTTCCTCTTGGAGCTGGTGTTTGCGCTCATCAGTTTCTTTGTCCTCCCCCTTCCGCCCCTATTCTGGGGATTGAACCCATTGCATTCCCAGCCCTTGTTTGTCCTTTAAAAGGGAAAAGGGATGTTTCCAAAGGGATCTTTCCAAAGATAGTCTTTTCAAAAATGGCCGAGACAGTCCTATGAGGTTCACACTTCAACTAAGCAGATGCAATCCTCTTCAAAAAGTCCGTCTCTACTATTAAGTATACCAATTTGTAATGCTTACATAGATTCAACTCAGCATGGAAATTTGTTTTCTCTATTATTACAGACTTAATGTCCCCTACATTACTTATGCTTGCAGGACAGGTAATGCTGTTATTTCTAGTGGGCCTCACCAAAATCAAGAAAGAAGAGAAATAATGAAAAAAAAAAAACTGTCTTTTGCTAATTCCAATGACTATGAGAGAGTATTAAAAAAAAAAAAACTTTATACTTTGTTTTTGTTTTTTTTCTTTCTCTTTTTTTGAAACAGGGTCTCTCTATGTAGTTTAGCTAGCTTTGAACTTGAAGCGATCCTCCTACCTCAGCCTCCTGAGTGCTAGGATTACAGGAAAAATAGGTATACCCATTTTAATAGTTTCACTGTATAAAGAAGAATATAACAACATAATAGTGATAATCATACTTGAATGTCAAGAAGACTTAGGAGAAACCTCCACATATTAATAAGGCTATTCTATAAAAATGCACACCTATACCAAAAAATCCCAAACCAGATTTTAGATATGAGCTTTAACACCTGTTGATCAAACTCTAGCTATATTTACTGGTATCATTTATTCATCCTTCAAACATGTATCATTGTGTAGATGTGTATTTTAAGAATGGTAGGTGGGCCAGATATCTCAACGGACTAAAATGCCTGCTTATGAAGCTCAGAGAACAGGGTTCAATCCCTGGTGTGCTGTGCCAGCCCTGCCCCAGAGACAGCGAATGAGACTGGGTGTGGTGGTGCACGCCTGTAACCCCAGCACTTGGGAGGTTGAAAACAGGAGGATCACTACAAGTCCAATCTGTGTAGTGAGACCCTGTAGACCCTGTACTAAATCAATTTAAAAAAAAAAAAAGCATGGTAATTTTTAATTGCACTCAAAACTGCCTTTGGGGGTCCTCCTGAAAAAAATGGTTAGCATAAATACATCGCTATGCCAAAAGATGACTCATCGAGGGAAGACACAGCCTCAGCTTAGTTTTCCGGGTATTGGTAGGTGAGGACTCGGACATGAACATACTTTAACCAAACTAGGGTAAAAACCAGTGAGAGGTCCAGCTCTGCTTTTTTAAAACCAGTCCAAAAACTAAGGCTCATGTGTATTACAGAAAGGCATGAATGGGAAAGCCATGCAGAAGGAGGCATGAAGGGAGTATCTGGGGTTCACACGGTGGCTGTTACAATAGAAGGTGGCATGTGGAGTAGGGCTTAGGTAAGGCTAGCAGCTCAGTCTGGTAGGTGTATCCAGCACTTTCTGGAGCAGCTGTGACAGGTATCTCTCAGAACCTTCCCACATATGATAAAATATTGTGATTCTCCATTAGAAATATAAGCTCTGAATTGAAGGAGTCAAAACACAGCCTGCACTGCGCTTCCAGCGCCCTATCTGCTTCCCAATGGCATACGCACTCAGAATGCTCTTCTGTTACAATATGCAAAGTTTAGTTGACAACAACTATGACAAGGACAGAAAGAGGGCGGTGAGCATACAGCCGCTGCTGCGGGTCCACGGCAGGCAGAGTGGCCCCTGACGGCCCAGTAGGCGTCAGCGTTCAGCGCATCTGTGCACTTCTGCAGCTTCAGTTACTCAAAAGTGTTCGAAAAGCTCATCTGTACTGCAATCTGCAGCAGCTGATGTCTAAAGTTGGAGGTAGAAGCAAGGCTGGACTGCTAGTGCGTGCTGCAGACCCTTCCCCCGTCACACTGGGTGTTGGGCTCCTTAGAGGAGGGTGTGGGACTACGCAAGCGATACTTCACAGAATTTTCCTGAGCTTTAGTTCAAAAGAGATCCTGAAATAACAGCCTGTTGTCATCTGATGTCACAGAACTTGACATTAAATATTTACCTGATGGTAGGAGTAATGAAAATTCAGGACCAAATAAGACAGTTTATATTTTTAAAGTTTACATTTTTAAGACTAACTTGACTTTGAGGTGTGAATCTGGCTTTGATCCATCTTTTTTCTGAACAGCTGTAACTTTCCAAAGTTGACAAAGTTTGTCTTAAATATTGTCTCATGCCTCTTCTGCTATATATTTTTTTAAAAATATGTCAGTACTACAAAAAAAAGCCAAAACCTTTTCTACAATATGTATTATGGCTTTATTAACCTATTTACAGTTTTGCTGAAATTGTTCTTAATTTTGCCAGTCACTGTATGGATTTTTCAGTCTGGGTCCTCTTTCTCATTTCAATTCATATCTAAGCAAATACACAAAACAAATAATCTGACCAACTGGTTCAGGGTGGTCTTGAAACAGTTTAGTTGATCTGTGTGTATGTGTGTGTGTGTGTGTGTGTGTGTTGTGTATACACATATGTATGAATGTGGTGCTAGAGAGTAAATTCAGAGCCTTATTATGCTAGGCGAATACTCTACTGCTTAATTATTCCCTCAACCCCTTTTCAAAACCAATTAGCTTAATTTTTAAAGGAATGAGCATAGTCTCCAAGTGGCCAAGAACCTACACTGATCTACTATAAAGTCACTTCAGATTGTTTTGAAGAACTAGGACAATTAATCCCTCATGTACTAAACTACATAATACTTTTTCTGCACTGATATATTAAGTATAATTATCCATAATGTAATAATAATGACCTACAGTATATGATATATAAATAAAATAATGATAATAATACAGTACACATGAGCTACAGCAAACAGAGGCTTGTATCCTTCTCCAAACTGTGCCATTTCCACATCATGAGGGACCTCAAGACACAAAACAGTGAAATTTGGGGTTAAAAAATAAAGTAATAGAGATCAGCTGTTAACATGAATTACAGAAAAAGAAGACAAGTGCCAATTTAATATTTGAAAAGATAGCTTTCAGTGTGTCAGAGTTCATGGCCCTTGCATCTCTATCCTTCAGTGATCTATGGATGATTATAAATGAACACAAGTCCAGACGCACCATTACATATTGTATGCTACGAAGACAGTGACCAATGATGTCTAAAATGGAGGTAAGAGATAGCTTAAGACACAGAGAAGCAAAAGGAAACACTATAAAAAAAGAAGCCCGTGAGCTCAGTCCTTTGAGCACCCCTGGTGGTAGCCCAGCTGCTGAGAAACCCTGGCTGCTAAGGGTGTGACACCCATCTCCCCTCGATGTGGGATCAAAGGTGGACCCATGACCCAGCAGCAGCCTACAGGCCATCATGTGACCTGGGCAAAAAGACGGAGCCACCCAGTCTTTGGGCAATCGGAAGCTGAAGCAGATGAACAACGTGTGAGGCCAGCAGAAGCTGGCAAGGCAGAAGCAAGGGACTGCAGAAAGACGCCAAGAGGCTGAGCCCAGACCACAGAGGGCGCTGCGGGCCAAAGTGCTCAGCAAGTAAAGGCCCACTCAGAGGACACAAAACAGAAGAAAACAGAAAGCTGGGAAGAATGTGAAAGAGAGAACAGAGCAGATGTCCCCCAAGAAGAAGTGGACAGGGAGCAAACAAGCCTTTGTAACGGATCCACAGAACCGCCTCAGTTTCTGATTACGCTCTTGTTTCAGCACAGGTAGATCCTGACTTAATAAAAAAGGCAAACCAGACCTTTTTCTTTAAGACAGGCTGAGTTGCCATCTCTGTCCCCAACAACTGGAGCTTGGTACTCAGAACTAGTACCAGTGATCTCAGTCTGAACTAAACGAGAACTAGACATGAACATCACACACCCTTAGCAAACTGCATGGAACACAGGAGGCTTTCCCAAAAAGCTCATATCCCCCACTGTGGGCCAGAAACTGTCCTGCTTAGCATATCTGGTTGTCAAGATTAAGCGTCACTAACAACACGCTGCAATGCAATAGCTGTCTGTATTTAGATGACTGAAAACCAAATTTTAAAAACTTTGTATTGCCCAACTTGTTGGAAAAGATCCTTTTACAGAAAGTTCTTAAGTAACCCTGTTCTTCATGTAGGAAATCCACTACAACAGAGCAGATTATGAGCATTATTCATTCCTCAGTCAGGGCGAGATTTTTTTAAAAAAGTTGTTTTACAAGTAAATGGAAAAGATCATACCAATAGTCTCATTATTTTTAAATAATTATGTTCAGCACATTAATTATTTTGTATGGCCTCTAATAACATATGCTCTGGGCACAAGATAGCAATGGAAGGCCACACAGGTTTGCAGAAACATCAGTTTGGACTCACAGTGTTTTTAAAAAAATAAATGAGTTGACAGAATTCAAAACAAAATCATGTAAGTATTTCTCATTCATCTGACTATGTGAGCCCACAAGGCAGGAGTGAGTAAATCCACTATGATGGGGCGAGCACATCGTTCCTGCTAATTTTTGAGGGTATTTTACTTTACAACCTCTACTCTAGAGACAGGAGATTCATAAATGTCACCAGGGCATCAATATGTCATCTTCTGTAACATGTATGTACAAATACTTCACATTGATGACCAAATCATGGAAATATTTTGGAGTTTTTTGCCCACAATCAGTGTTCTGTTTAGTGGCAGGTAAATGCAGGCCGGGCCTCGTACGCTCTCCCAATCCTTTCTTTCCTGTGCCGTCCTTACCTTTTCTGTCCGGCTTGAGGTTCCTATCCACAGGGGGTGGTTCACAGTCTGCAACAGGAACTGGTCTTCTGGGAGGGGTCTTTGGGCTAGACCTGAAGCCCATATGAGCAGGAGGGGGAACTTGCATTCCAAATGAAGAAAAATCAAATGTCCCTGGTGTCATGGGCACGTAGTTTGCCTCCTGAATTGGTTCCGTGAAACTGCTGGAATGCTGTCGCGGCGGTGAGTTGGGATTCATCGGGACGTAGTTTTCATCTAGTTCTTCACTTGAGACGCTCCCCATGGTCAGCACATTTTTGATTTTCTAAAACACACATACATTTCTTTTAATGAAAAAAAACTACTGCCAAATGGGAAAATGCAATTCTCACATCCACTCACGGAGCTGGCAGTGCTTTCATTTCATGATCTCACTTAGTCTCAAGCTAAGAAGCACACAACTTTTGACAGCAAAATACTCTCAGTGCCAAGGTGAATTATACTTACAAAGTGGTTCTGGAAGCCTTCAAGTGAGCCAGATCGATCACTTGGAAATGTTCGTGGAATATCGTAGCAGTCTTGAGAACAAGCATCTAGAATAAAGAACAAACTACTGGCATTTCTTGCAATCTTTGCAGGGTCTCGGGGTGATCAAGAATGACCTATTCTCCTTCTCTCTTTGTACACATAATTGTACACACACACACATACACACTTCTAATAGAGTGGTCACTGAAGAGTAGCATCTGAACTTGGCACACAGAACCACTAGAAAATGCAGATACACCCTCATACACTAATCAACAGCAATGCCTGATTATGGAAGAAAGTGAATTTCTAGACCTGTGACGATACATGGTGTAAATCTAAAGATGGAGAAAAGAAACAGTGCCTCTAATTTTTTTTCTTCATTACTGTGGATTTCACTTATATCTCACTAATTCATAACCAGGTTATAAAATCACTTTAAGATGGGACTAAGAAACTGATGTTGAAGAATTAAATATGATACTAATAAAATAATTTTAAAAGCTACCTTAAATCTTTGTCTTAAGAGAACCAGAACGCTAGGGATGTAGCTCAGTGATTCAGTGCTTCGCTAACATACTCAGAGCCTTGAGGTAGGTCCCCAGAATGGGGAAATAAACAAAACCAAACAATCCTCTCCACTATAATCTAGAAAACTAGGACCGGCCAAATAGCTCAGCAAGACGTAGGGGCGGGGGTTCGATCCCTGGCCTGCTGTGCCAGCCCCACCCATGGGGTGTGCTGAGATGGCAACTGAGACTGGGTGTGGTGCGATGCACCTGTAATCCCAGCTCTTTGGAAGGCTGAACACAGGCAGATCACTACAAGTCTGATCTATGTAGTGAGACCCTGTAGACCCTTACCACAAAAGAAAAAAAAAAAAAGCCAGAAAACTACAACAAAAACAGAAATTTAAACACAGGTGTTTCAGGATATGTGCATTAAGAACTTTGGCTTTCTATACTTAGGCCTTTAAGAATTTTAGAAAATAATCCATACTTTTTGTCTTTCTTGAAGTTAACTTTTAATTGTAGGTTGTAGGAGATAGTACATAAAAAAATAAGTAGACCCATTAGCAATAACTAGTGATAAGAGAAATGAGTCAAGTCTTTAAAAACAACCAAACAAGTGAAAAGAATAAGGGCCTCACTGGAACAGTATTATCACTTGTTAGACAGGACACAGAAAGCACTTCTGTAGGAAGGAAGGAAACAAAGCCCAGCAGATGTGACACACAAGTGGCCGTAATGGCACACAAATACAGGAAATGGAGTGACTAGGAGAGGCTTTGTGGCTGGCCCACTTCCTGCTCCTCTGTCCAGCAGAGAGCCTTCCACCCAGGATTCATAGAAAGTGGGAGAGAAGCTTTCCAGGCAGGAAGAAGGCATAACAAAGGCCGTACCTCTTTAGGAATGAGAAACTCTACGCTCTCCCTTCCAGTACAGCATACATTCACACATACACAAATGCACACACACACACACACACACACACACACACACACACACACCCGTCAGAGACCTAAGCCTCTAATATCTTGGCTACATACATAGGTAACTGCAGAGCTAAAGGATAAAAAGGGCTCCTATTGAACATCAGAATAATTATTCCATCACCAGCCTCTAAAAGAGTAGAAGCAGACAGGAGCTGACCTTTCCGTAATTTGTTCAAATCCACGGTGGAAATGGTATTGCTCCGCGATGGTGGTATTCCTGCTGTGGGGATGCAGTAACTACTATCAGTGTCTAGGGCTGCGTGTGGGACACTACACACTTCCACAGGAGAACGGTCATGAGTTGGGTGGGGTTTTGGTGGCCGAGGGGGGGGAATATCCGGAATAGCATCGAGCTTTGATGTCTGTCCCAAGGTTCCTTCTGGAAATGTTCGTGGAATCTGGTAAGTATTACCAGGTGTTGGAGGAATGTCGTAACTAATAGACACATGCCTCATTTGAGTCTCTATGCTGGATGTCCCAGAAGGGGTGTTAAAAACATAGAGTTCTCCATCAGCTTCGGTACTTGATGGAGACTCCTTTGGCAAAACATCGTGGGAGTAACTCCTGGGAAGGTTGTAAAGGCTGGAGTCTACGGAGACAGACGTAGTGCGCGATGGCAGAGAGTCATACATCATTTGCTGCTGAAAAAAGCCATTCACTCCATGTTTGCTCTGGGAGGAAGCCGGAGTTTTATGAGTAGGGACGTTATCATTGCAGTCTGTTTCAGAGCAGGTGAATTTTGCAGAATCAGCATGGGTTCTAAGAAAAAATCGTTAATGACAAAATAAAACATGGTCAAGACATCATAAAATTTTGGCAAGCACAGTTATAGTTTAATAATCAAAACCTATGTTTTCTCCATTAGAATTTTTGCGTGATCCATAAGATTTAAAACATACGTGTTCTTTTAGTTTTTTAGGATTGTACACCAGACAACAAAACCACCACCACCAAACCACCAGAAGCGTTCCAATTCTTGCCCTATACCTGCTGGCACCAAGGAGAGCCACATATAAAAACTTTAACCCTGATGCACTAGTATTAGATTTTACAAAACCCGTGGAAAGCGAAATGAAGAAGGTGCAGAAAACAAGGAAAATCATTTCCGATGAAGAGCATGCAAAACTTGGTGCCAGTTCAGTTATAAAGTTGATCCACTCCTGTTTAACTTGCCTCTGGCAAATTTCTTGTTCAGCAAGGCTAAAAGTCAAGCGATTACCTGCAACTGGGTAAATTCAATACAACCTACACAGAGTTAACAATTTTCTCTAACAGCCTAGGCTACAGGATCAAAATACATGGCAGAGTGTTAATCAACTTGAAGCAATAATTAACTCTGAGAAATCTCATTTGGGGATATTTTTGCCTTGAGAACATTTTCAGTCTCTATTTTTTGAGGTATCATAAAATTTTTGTATAAGCTGAGATAAAGCTAACAATATTAGTACACTCTAATTTCCTTAGTGATAAATGAGATGTAGAGCTATCTATACATGTTGTCAAACTCCTGTAGGAAATGAAACATGTATTTCTTCACATAACCAAGGATAGCTGTTTTTAAGGGCTTATCCTCCCTGGCTACTTGGTAACATCCGGCACTACACACATCATTTTTCCTGCAAAGTCTTTCCTTTGCTACCAGAGGTCCACACTACACTGTCCTGATTTCCCTTCTCCTTCTCCCATAATTCCCTCTTCTCAATGACTAGCTCCTTCCCTCGTCTCTCTGCTACCTGGTCCTTTACTACTTATGGCATGAGAGAATCCTCCCTTTTCATCCCTTCACCTTCTTCTCTGAATACTGACAATGCCTGTCTTCTCACCAAACTGTGCGTCCCATATTTTCAAACTGGTGTTTCTATTTGGTCATCCATCCCTGTATGACCTAGCTCACATGTCCCAAGACAAATCCAACTTATTTAGCCTGATTGGTCTTCCTAACTTCTACCACTATCACTCATGCAGTGAGTCCCCAGTCCTTCCTACTCAAGTATCTATTCTCACAACTGCCACCACTCCAAGGTCAAGCCCATGTCTCAGGTGACATCTATGATACTTAACTTTCTCTAACTGGATTTTACTCTACTGCCTGCCTTATCTGATCTATCCATTGGATGATACTGTTACAAGATCAACATTTTCAACATAAAGTTTTTATATTATTCACCTACTCAGAGAAATGTATTAGGTCTCCATAGAATGTGGAAACTCCAAAGTCCAAAAGTGACACACCCGGTACTGGGGCTTCTGCTGTAATACCCAATGACTCCTGGTTTGGGAACCACTGCTCCCCAACAAAAAACTTCTCCTACTCAGGCTCTCCTTTTTCATGTCTTCCTCCGACTATGATCACTCTCACCCCTTCTTTCCCTCAAAGGATTTTTGGAGCTTCTTCATGATTTCTCCATCTTAAAAACACTGTCCCCTGGTAGAATTTCTAAATCATCTATGCATACTCTAAAATGTGCACTTTCTTTAACTCAAATGCAGAAGCTAAGAGTAGGGGCATAATGAGTAATAAGAAAAGCTTCCTGCTCTTACTAGCCTACGCTTTTGTGGAGAATAAGTAAAACTTGCAAGCTACTTTTAATACTGTGACACAAGAGAGAAACAGAGGCACAGTCACCAGGCTATAAAAGCATAGAGAAATGTAACCCAACTACGAGTTTGGGGAAATGCTTCCTATGGAAGCTGTCTTGTAGGAGGAACAAGAGTTTGCAAGGCAGCAGTCACCTATTGTGCAAGCATTAAATATTTGATGCTCGCATTCTGTGACATCTTAACAAGCCCCGCTTGCAAACTCCACAGTCAACTGTCTGTGGAGGGACCTTGTGTTACACAATGAATTTGTACTTTCACAGCACCTAGAATAATGGTGGGCACATGGGACACACTTCATAAATACTTGTTATTCAACTGTCACTTTGGCAAAATACAACTGGCAAAATATACCCGGGTAATAACACTGAACTTAATTTCTACTGCAACAAGGAAAGCTATGATACCAATGAAATCAATGGGAAACACTACCCCACAGGCAAATGTGTTGAAAATGAATGTACTGAAAAACTGTCACTTAGCTATTTATTGGCTTTTGAAAATGATATTGGAAAATAAAATCTTAGTTAGTAGCACAGGTAACAATGTTGCAAGTGTGTAATTTAAAGTACTCACAGCAAACAAGCACAATCAAGTTAGAATTTGGTATTATTAACTAGTGTTGATTTATACAATTTTCTTATTCTTACAGGTAAAATCCCATTACAACAAATATATAGAAAAACAACTTGGGAATGTCTGAGGTGTGTCCATCATCTCAAGAAATGGATCACAGAAATTACTTAATAAAGTCTATGCACAAAAATATAAATAGAATATGTATAAAAATACACATAGAATATGTATAAATTCTATGCATAACAATTGCTTAGTAAATTCTATGTAAAAAAATTTAATAAGGGCTACATCTGATCCTAGCTCAGTAACAACTACTTTTAACATTAAAAACTATTTAAAAAAATAAGACATTAAAAAAAAACAATCTTTCTGCCAAGTGTAGTGATGCACGTTTCTGCCAAGTGTAGTGATGCACGCCTGTAATCCCAGCATTCTAGGAGGCTGAAGAAGGGGATCACAAGCTTAAGTCCAACCCACACAAGTTAGTCAGATCCTGTCTCTATAAAAAATACTACTACTACTACTACTACTACTACTACTAATAATAATAATAATAATAACAATAACAACATAAAGATCTAGGAATATACTTCGGTGTGAAAGCCTTGAGTTTGATCCCAAGTCCTGGAAAAAAATCGTATCTGTGTAACATTCAGCTCTCCTCCAATTTTATATTATAAGTAAACACATTCAACTGACAACAGTATCACTAGAGGGCACATCACTAACAGCCGCAGTGCTGCTAATGGCTTAGGCCAGCCTGAAGGCTGCTTCTTTTTAAAGAGAAAAGCAACGCTTTCCACCTCCTTCTGTCTCTTGAAGCCTTCTAACTACTCGACGTCAAATGTCAAGGACTACTGCGGTAAAACTTCTCAGAGCCTAGAAGATGGTGGGGAAGGAGACAAAGGGGACCGAAGTTTTAGGAAAGGTCATATGGCCGCTCAGTCAAGCACTGCATTATAAATTTTTAAGCAGAAAGATGTATATGTGGGGGGATCAAAGCTTTGGGTAACTGCTGGTTCACTGCTAGCTAGGAAACTGAAAATTGTACAGCTTTTAACAGGATGTTTGATTTTTGTCAAATTTCACTAAAACTCAATTTATACATTCAATAGAATCTGCCATATTGGGATTTTACCTGTTTGATTAATTTCTCACACGGACCCAAAACAACTACAACAAACTCACTGCAATGGAACCGTTTTGCTTTCAAAATCTTCTAGTAGTAGGTATTCCTCTCCTTCTTCAGAAACAAAAGATGACCCTTGGCTGGTTTACAATCACATAAGAAATGGAGCAAGATCACCATTTATAAATCAGTGAAATCTGTTAGGCAAGTAATACTGTGAGTCTGTAACAAAGAGTGTGAAACAGTAGCCAGATTTCCAAAAGAGTCTGGTGGGTACAAGCTTCCCTGCTCAAAGCAGCAGAGATTGTGTCTTTCATTAAAAAAATCTCCTAAATATTAGCAATCCTTAATAGAGGCATATGAATCTAAACTATAAGCTTGGAACCTAAGCTCACATGGAGGGTAGGGGCCTTTAAGCAGGATTCAGAAAGCAGGCACAATTTACCTGGTGGGTTCAGGCTTCTTGCTTTGACAGTTGATCAGCAAGAGGTAGTCTTGAGGGTCATCCTGGATACCAAGGGCTTCCGGGTATGGTGGCAGGCTGATGAGCTGATATGGAGGAGGTAGAGCAGCAGAGGTCGGCTCTGCCTGGGTGCAGGATGCTGCCGTGTTTAGCGCGAAAGCTGGGTCAGCAGGTGCCTGCAAGGAGGTGCCAGGCGGTTTCACAGGATCTGCAAAGCCAGCACACTCTCAGTGTTGATCACATTTTGCGGGAAAGGAAATTCTTCAGGTTAAACAAACCTAGTTTAAAGTTGAGAGATGCTTTTGTTTCCACCCACAAAACAGGAAAAGAACATGGCGATGTCTCTTGCAGCAAGTAATGCTGATGTGACATTACCAGGGAGTAATTGGCACTTTTCAGAGAGGTCTAAACTCCCAACTACTAGGACGGTTGTGACAGGAGGATTCCAACTGTGGCGCCAACCTCGGCAACTTAGTGAGACTGTCTCAAGATGAACAGGAGTGCAAAGAACTAGGGATGTACCTGACTCAGCAGTAGAGTGCTTGCCTAGCAAGCAAGAGGCCCTGGATTCTGTCACCAGTACCCCCAAAAATTAAAAAACAAAGTAAGACTCTTCTTTCTGCCCAAAGGCAGGAAAGAAAGCCAAGGTTAACCTTGCTTTGGACAATCCTCAGTGTTGGCCTGTGGGACAGGAAGGCATTCTACGCTCAGCGCAAAGCAATTTCATTTTTTCAATGATAGAGGAAACACTTCCCAAGCCAAGCTAACCTTTCAGGGAGCGCATTTGATGAGACAGACTTCACGGACTCAAGTGGCTCAGAGTACGAGCCCCTCTTGGCCCTTGGTTTGTTTTGTTGCTCATTCTTTTTTTTTTTCACTTCTATTGAATGAGGGAGATATATCTTTATTTTTGGCACTGGTGAAAATGGGTTCTATTAATGTTTAGGGAAAGGGTTTCTTTAAGGCCTCGTCTCTTCCCTCCAACCACAGCCTCTAACCAGCCAAAAAGAAAAAAAATCAGTAAGCCAATCACTATGTTCTGAGAAGATACATAAGAGACAATGTACAGAAAGAAGTAATTTGAAAAGCTACAAATAAAAATTCCTGTCATTAATGACATAACTAAGCATAGTTGTAAGAGCTCAGAAGGAATATGCTGTTAACCTGATTTGAAATACAAGGCAATACATAACACAGAAAATGACAAGTGCTCACATGTAAAAATGTTTGTTTGTTGTCTGTCTATATTAGAACACAGAAGGCTGGGTTGAAACTAAGATCCATACACTGCATCAGGTAAGCAATGCCCACATGTGGTAAGGGGACGGAGAGGTCATTCATCCTGTGGGTTCACTACACAACTGCTAAGTATCAGCTGTCTCCTCTAGAAATAAAGCCACATAGTTTGCATAATGTCTTTAAGTATTTAACAGTAAGATTCATACATGCACCACAACGAAGTCCGTGGAGTTCATTTCATGCTTCCTCTTACAGACTGAAGGTTTTACCCTAACTGTGAAGCCTGAGTATCACAACGTCTCTCCAGCCACTCATCCCAATAGCAAACCAAACAAGGATCAGCACCACTAAGCTTAGCACACATTCCATATAGTAGATGCGGAAAAACGAACTTCAGTCATGGGGCAGAAATTCACAGCACTCTCTGTCAAACAGGGAGGAATTAAAGCAAGCGGTACTGGCAACACTGTGAGACCTAGTCACCTTCTGGGCCAGTCTAGGACTTGCGTCCGTGAGCCTTGTCAGATGCTAATGAAGTCTGGAAACTTCTTTCAATTAGAGAATAAGGCCTGAGCAAACAGAAGTTGTGTTCATTTCCTTTTAATCATTTTGATGCTTCACATGATGTCCAGGTTTATGCAACAAAATCCTTATGCCACGTGGTAATTCTTTTTTAATTTGTGGAAGGCAAGAGCAATGGTAGTTAACATAAAAATAAACCTTTAGCCATTTATATAACATTATATAATAAATTTAGTGGACACTCATAAATACTTGTTGTCGAAGTGATGTATATTACATACCCTATGAAATGTTTTACTCTGTTGGTTCAACGGCAAATATACAGAGGTTTTCTAGAGGAAATTTAAAATGGCACAGATTCGATTAATTAAAATTGCAATTGGTTGTTTTTTTTTTTTCTTGTATAGCTCCTAAAATATAAAATAATGGTTGGTCGTGGAAAAACTTGAGCATATATTCTACTGCTTGACTAATAACTAAAATTATTGTTGCACATCTTAAATATTTTCTATATTATTCTCTACTTTCACAGCCATATTTTAATTTTTCACTACAGAAATAAAGTCTATTTTGAAAGTGAAAAAAAAAATAAATAAAATGGCACAGATTAAATGCAGCTCAGAAAAAATCTTTGTAGATTTGGGAGAACTGCGAAAAATATTTCTGTTTTGAAGATGAATTTAAGGAAAATATATACAATGTCCGAGGAGGAAAAAAGATCAGAAAGAGTTGGTATGTCCTACAGGCTATATTCACAAATGCATTCTGTATGCTTGGTTAAACTGTATAATCTAGTTCAGTTTTTTGTTCTGACCACAACAAAATAACTTGAAACCCTAATGTATCTATCTATCTATCTATCTATCTATCTATCTATCTATCTATCTATAGAGAGAGAAACTCCAGCTATTACTACACCTCCTACAATAACTATTCCAAATGATTTCTATACATATATTTTTTCCTTCGATCTTTTTTCTAAATTGGATGGCTGAACACTAATTGAACTGAGCAATCCATATTAAGTATGAAAAGGAAATTGCCCAACGAGGAATACATTTATTTGACCTTGCTTTTATTAACACAGTAGCATCATCTCATTTTTAACCTTCCATTACTTCTACCTGTGAATGCTGAAAGTATTTTAACCTCTTTAAATCCTCAAGATCTCAATTTTCTGAAAAGAAGCCAGGAACTAAATGCTGCCTTTTTCAAACATAACTTTCAAGAGGCAAGAACTAGAGAAACTTCCATCATGCTTGCTAGCAAGCTCTAGAGAGAAAAGACCTTTCAAGCAGCCTTGCAAAGCATCCCCAGGCATTCCAGGCAATGATGGCATACAAAGGCCGAATATAAAGGGAGCAGAAGATCAATCTACCACGCTGTCTCACAAAATGCATAATTTCCAACATTTACTATATCCCTAATACCCATATCTCTAGTCCTTGGGATAATGTTCCTCATGTTAACTATAGGCTCAACTCTGCATATTTTAATATAAGCACTGTATTGAGTCTAAATATTCCCTAACTTAAAATTTCTGCCTAACATTAGACAACTGGTCTAAAGAAGGAACCTCTGTTCCACCTTATAAAGGTATGTGACTTACACCTTATTCAACAGTACAAGTAACAGAACAGACCATTCTGCTCTCTGCCTTGCTAGAGCTTCTGATTGACTGCTCTAAGTAATGCTAATATCATGCTTCTAAGAATTAAGCATTGGTTTAGGGTTTGCTTATGCCTGTAAAATTCCATTTCTTAATTCAAGAGGCATGAAGAGTATAATTAAAGCGACTAAAGGCCTAATAAGCTACTACAGCAAACTGCTAACTGAAATTTACTTGAAAAGCTAATAGGTCTTTCTGAGGAAAGGCTTTCTGTGAATCAGCTTTCAGCAGAGAGGCAGACTATGAGTTGACAAGATGCCCGAACAATAAACCAGGTGTCATGGCCTCTGTCTAGCTGTCCCCTAAAGTTGCATGTGGTCATACGTGAGGCTTCTTCAGAGGTGGCTGGATCTACAGTGTGTGATGCGGGACTGATCATGGTGCAATGCTGGGATCAAAGGTGCTAGGAATGGGGTGTGAGTGCTACTCTTCCTAAGCAGCCTGGCTAAGGTATATGGGACAGAAAGAGCTGTGGCCATTGCTTGCTTGTTTTTGTTATCTTCTGCTTGTCATGAACTGGTTCTCCTCTGCACTGTCCCTCTGCCTTGCCCACCCTGCCTCGGATCCAGTCGACTATGGATGAAAATCTCTACAAATTGTGAGCTAAATAAACCTTCGCCCCTTTAACTTTGGTTGTCAGGTATTTTGTCCTAGGGACAAGAAAAGTAACTAAGATACCAAGACACAAGACTCCTTACCTAATGCACTTTTATCCTGCTTGAAACTATAATACTTGGTTAGTTTTTTAGATAATACCGCTAAAAATTACTGGGGCTGGGATGTAGCTAAGTAGTTAGG